TGTTTTACATTCTATGCTTTTAAGATTCATATAACTTTATCAAATTTTTTAATTACTCAGTTATTAAAATTTTTATTACTTCAGGGTTTCTACTAGGAATTTTTATTTAAGAGTCCCAGGGACTCGTGCTCATAAAATATGAGGGTCCCAGAGAAAAATATGAGGGTCCTAATCATTTATTACTTTAAAGTAAGGTATTACTTATATATATTGTCTAGGTTTAATTCTTTACATTTATATACATTGTTCAACTACATATGCATTTCTATTGACCTTGTTATCGATAAATAAAATGAAAAAATATAAACCATTTATCATTCATTGTTCACTTTTTATTTTTTCATTTCTTTCATTTGGCTGAATGTTTTTGCAACCTGCATAAAGTCAAGATCTTTCACATCTGTCCGACTAATTTTATCAATTGTTTAACTGCATACGGACAAATGTATCTACTATTTTGGAAGTTCAAACATCCATTTTCGAGGCAAATGGATTACATTTTTTGGTTGAGACGCAATGGCTGCATTTCATATCCGTGGTCTTCTCGTTTTGGACGAGCCACGGGTAAGTTAACTTAGCCACTTTTCATTAAAAATTGGGGGAGCAGCCGACATGTTTTACGATTTAATTTTATAACAAAAAACGCATAGACTGGGACGCTTTTTAAGGTCGACTAAATTCTAGTATGCGCCGTTTTATTCCGTATTAAACTGAAATTAATTGAAAGAAAGATAACTCTGCTCATTCAATATTAGAACCCGTCTACCAAATTACGTCATTTCCTTTAAAGAAGCGGAAGGAATTTCCAAATGATATTTACGGAGGAAAAATTAATTTGCGTCCCCATGGACGCACACTTCGAGTAATTGAGGGTCCTAGGTTACTATTTTTGCGTCAAGGACGCAGGAAATGTGCGTCAATAGAAACCCTGTTACTTTCTCAAAATTATTGATTAATGCCATGTCAAAAATTAGAGAACACTTGAGACATCTGAATGATGTTCAGTAAAAAAAAGAAAATCACCCAATATCAAAATGAAATAGGAAATCAAGAGTGTTTCAGCTTATAAATTTTTAATAAAAGCTTTCAACACAATTAAACTAAGATAAAGTTAGTATTTTAAATTAGTTATTATGAAAGTTAACAAAATTCACATTTCTTAACAATTGTGAATAATACAAGCAAATATAATGAACATTTTGTATTGTCTAATGGCTTTTTTTTTTATTTCAATCACTGAATGTAAATTTTGTTTTATTTATGTGTCTTAATTTTTAATCCATTTGCACAAGTATATCCCTTCTTAAATATTAACTATCTTGTGCAGAAGTTATTATGGCATAATTAAGATTCAATTTGACATTTCATAAATTGGTCTTTTGTGAGTATTAATTGTAGACTGCTCACACATTGAAGTGATTGTAACATACTACATGTATAAACATGTGTAATTGGTCAGAGATCGGTCAAGAGTAACATTACATTTTCCCTGCAGTTTTATAATAGCCAGTGTTAAACTCACCTATCTTATATAAAAGAAAGTGTGAGATAAGTGGGGTTTACAACATGTAATCTAATATCCTGAACCAATCTGGTATCAGGATCTCATCTCAGAAAATTCAAATATTACTCAGGAAGAGTTTATTTGGACCTCAGTGCTTATAACTTCGGAGTAGAGTTAAACAATTGTGACTTAAGTGCCATTTAGATGAAACAACTTTATAATGTGAACTTTAATGAAATTATAATGGACATTAAAGGAGTTCTTCAATCAGATAGAAATGGAAATTTACTACTGTTAAATGGAATAATGGTAAGTTATTTAGACTATTTTGTTACAACAGTCTTTTCAAATTTACCTTGCAAATGAACACTTTTAATTTTAGTTTTTCTTCATAAATTTTACATTATGTGCTGATTTAAATCTTTTTCACTGAGTGGGAAATTTTAAATCTGCCCTTTTCTTTACATTATATATGTACCATTAAAATTAGCATTCCTGGTCATGATTTTTCATACCATTTACATTTTGAGGATATTTTAGTAAATTATGGGTTTATATTAACAGTACCAAACTACTATCAGAATAAGCATTTTGATTTTACTCAATTTATATATGTATTAGTAATGAATTTTTCTTTTTATTTACAGGAAAACTTACAATGCTGCAGGTACCATAGAAAGTTTTTAATTATAATGATGAAGGAAAGAAAAATGAGATTGATTACAGAAATAATTGATGGTTAGTTTTGTTATTCAATAAGGTTAGATAATTGATAAAAATAATGAAATAAATAACCTGTTAGATGAACAACTTTCAATGTAGCTAGTATCTATTTCCATTTAAACAAAATGATTGTATAGAATATAATTTTGTATATTAAAGATTTACTTAACTTACAATATTATTTATCTTAAATGTATGTAATACATTCACTATTTAAAATTTTCATATAGTTAAAATAAAAGTTCTGATAAAAAGAGACCTTATCATCTGAAGTAACAGTCAAAACCAGTAGGAATGTGAATAATTTTCAAGTGTATTGTTATGCCCCCACAATGTGGGAGCATATAGCGTTGCACTTGTCCGTCCGTCAGTCCGTCCGTCATTCCGTCAGTCCGTCCGTCAGTCCGTCCCGAAATCTTGTGAACGCAACTCTTCTTAAACCGGATGGCAGATTTTGCTTAAACTTACAGGGATGAACAACCTTAATGTGTAGATGGTAGTAAAGGAAGGAATTTTCGCTGCGACCAAATTTAACAGAATTATGGCCCTTTGTTGATTTTTTCACTAGATACTATGTAGAAATTTTGTGAACGCAACTCCTCTTAAACCGAATGGCAGATTTTGCTTAAACTTACAGGGATGAACAACCTTAATGTGTAGATGGCAGTAAAGGAAGGAATTTTCGCTGCCACCAAATTTTACAGAATTATGGCCCTTTGTTGATTTTTTCACTATATACTATGTAGAAATTTTGTGAACGCAACTCCTCTTAAACCGGATGGCAGATTTTGCTTTAACTTACAGGGATGAACAACCTTCAGGTGTAGATGGTAGTAAAGGAAGGAATTTTTGCTGCGACCAAATTTAACAGAATTATGGCCCTTTGTTGATTTTTTCACTTTATACTATGTAGAAATTTTGTGAACGCAACTCCTCTTAAACCGGATGGCAGATTTTGCTTAAACTTCCAGGGATTAACAACCTTAATGTGTAGATCGTAGTAAAGGAAGGATTTTTTGCTGCGACCAAATTTAACAGAATTATGGCCCTTTGTTGATTTTTAGTTTTCAACTTGTGGCACATGTAGTCCAAAAAATATTTGACCTAGAGTCATAAGATTGACAGAACAGTGGCGTGTGGGGGCATCAGTGTCCTATGGACACATTTCTAGTTTTAACAAACAATTGCATTGCTAGATATAGATCTATGTTGTTGAAATTATTTATAGAAATATCTAACAAAATTAAAAACTATTGCAGCAAGAACAATTTTATTTTTTATAAATAATTAAACTGGCAAGATTGCCCAAAAATAATATTTTACTATTGCCAAAAAAAAAAATATTTTACTATGCAATGTGTGCTTTCAAATATTGATATTTTTAATAACATGCTAATAATACCAAGCATATAAAACATAAATAATTAATTATTATACAATTTTTTTCTTTTCAGTGTACATGTACAACAGGCAGTCAATAATATGAATTGTAGTTGTGTGCCACTGTGAGTGAAGCCATTCTGAAAGACTGAATCTGTGAAGAACATGATTTATCATATTACAAATTCAATATGGATACTTATTTGAAAAAAAAACAAAACAAAAAAAACAGTTATCTAATTAAATAAATAATGTTTTGTTTTATATTTTCTCAACTTGGTAGACATTTATTATTTTTTTGTATTTGTGTTTTAGAATAATTTTTGTTAAGATGACTTGTAAATCTAGAAATAAGTTGAAATGAATAAATTAATTCTATTATGTAATAGTTTATTAGTATTATACCTTATCACATGACGTAATATAGGAGAAAGAACTAAGTTTGTTACAGGCTAGACGCAAGCTTGTCGCAAGCTAGAGGCAAGCTTGTCGCAAGCTTGCAACTAGCTTGCCGCAAGCTTGCAACTAGCTTGCCGCAAGCTTGCAACTAGCTTGCCGCAAGCTTGCAACTAGCTTGCCGCAAGCTTGCAACTAGCTTGTCGCAAGCTTGCAACTAGCTTGTCACAAGCTTGCAACTAGCTTGCAGCAAGCTTGTCGCAAGCTTGTGGTGCCTTTCAAATCTAAAGCATACATTTTTGAAAACAGGCCCCAAGCTTGCTGCGAGGTTCCAATTCTAAGCTTTCCGCAAGCTTTATTTGCAAGCTTGCGACAAGCTTGTTGCAAGCTTGTTGCAAGCTTTTAAAAAGCTTGCGATTTGGTTTGGGAATATTCAACTTGTGTCGCACGTAACTCAAAAAGTATTTGACCTGTAGGTCTGAAAGTTTACAAGAATGTTGGTCAGCATGTGTACTTATGCACCTTGTGGTTTTCTTGTGGATTTATTCAGTATTTGTAGTATATATTTGCCCTTTACTTAATAATTGAATTTTAGTTTTCAACTTGGGCACATGTAGCCAAAAAAAAAAATTTGACCTAGAGACATAAGATTGACAAATTGGTGGAGTGTGGGGGCACCCGTGTCCTTATATGGACACATTTCTAGTTTTTTTTGGGAGCCAGGGCCTATGAGCATTATATCGGAAAGCGTTGTTAACGCGGCTGCAGTGTAAAACAGCGCAACTGTTTAAAATTACAGCATCATATACATAGCAAATCTTTACTTTTATGTTTTTTCTTTGGACAAAGCATGTATTAATAATCATCTATTTCCATATAAATGCACGAGCATATGGCAAAATTTTATCTTTTGACTACAAGATGTGGGATAGTAGCTTAAAAGATTAAGTATTGGTTTTATATAAGTATACTATATATGAATATTTTATTTCACTAGATACGAGGTGTACAAACTGTTATTGGGCTTCAAACTAAGATTAAAAAGGTAAGCAACTTTTAGCTGACTGTAACAAAGTGACATTATAAGTGAGTCTTTGTGCTAGCTTTTCGTCTGCATGGTGTCAGGCCGTTTTTGGTAAACCTTTACTTTAAACGACATCTCATAAACTGCTAAACCAATTTCATTCAAACTTTACAGAAGTGTTTCTTGGGTGTTCACCTTTGAAAATTGTTCAAAGAATTGAATTTTATGCAGAACTCGGGTTGCCATGGCAATGCAAAGAAGAAACAAAAAATCCAAAGAGCTAGAGCTGAGATATTTAACATGAAACAATTTTCTTCATGTGGTTGTCTACCAAGTTGATTCAAATAAAAGCCATGGGGTCAAAATTGGTCCCGCCCAGAGGTTCATTAATTTTCATTATAATTATATTTAGGAAAAACAAAAACAGAAATCTTCCTCTGAAAAAGCCAAACAGCTAGAACTTAAGAAACATAAAAAAATTTAAAGAGCTAGAGCTGAGATATTTTGCATGAAGCATCTTCTAGTGTGTGTCTACCAAGTTTATAAAAATAAATTCCCTGGGGTCAAAATTGGCCCTGTCCAAGGGTGTCATTGATTATCCTTATATGTATACTGGCATGCGAGCAGTTCCCGTACAAAAATCACAGCTACTTGAACATTATTTTTTATTACGCTCACTCACCAAAATTTGAATGTTACACATCAATATTCAGCTCGTCACACAAATCATGGAAATTCCATCATGTTCTAAACATAGAATAACCCTTACTTATGAGGCCTCATATGGGGTACCTAAATTATCCATTATTTTGTATGAAGAGAAGTAGTTCCCGTACATAAAATCTAACCCATTATAATTATACAATTTTATTATATCGGACCTGTTTTTCATTTACAATTGTTGAACAGACCATTATCTAAGAGATAAATAGATGTAATTCAGGAAATAGAGCGTAGACTAAACGCGGGTATCAATTACCCGGTACCGTTACCCCAACGCATTCACATGCAATAGCATGCTTCTATGCATGCTATTTTACGCATCAAAGCCATAAAATTATTATATATAGTAATATTGGTCAACATTCTGATAATTAAACAAGTTTACATCACATTGCCTACTTATTTGTAAACAGGTGGTATTAGTGGAAAACCCTTTAACAAGCCTCACGTGTAAGTATTTTTGCCCATGCGCGCAAGGACGGAATCCCCCAGAGAAAAACAAGGTCACGTTTTGACGACGCACAGGTGAAAGTGATTTAAAATGAGACTTTATACACGTACTGCCGAACTGACACTTAGATTTTGTCTCGTTTATGTATCTACTTGATTTGAAATGAATTTTTGAAGAATGCAAGTAAAAATCAAGCGTTTAAATGAAAAATACGGGTACTGCTTCTGTACGGGAACTGCTCGCATGCCAGTATAGTTAAAACAAAAAAAAGGAGCTAGAGCTGAGAATATTTAACATAGTGGTTGTCTACCAAGTTTGTTCAAATAAAAGGCCAAGGCTACAAGGGCGGTAAATGATTTAACTTATATGTACATAGTAAAATCAAAACAAAAATTTCTTCTGTTATATATAGAATATAGAAGCTTTAGCTTAGATATTTGGTATGAAACATTGTTGTGTGGACCACTACAAAAATTGTTCAAATTTAATAGCCCTTGTGTCAAAATTCCACAAAAAATCTTCTTTTAATTAACCAAAAGAGCTGGAGATATGATAATTCCACAGCCCCGGGGAACATAGAAAAAACCTTATATTAAGAGAGTAATGAAACTATTTTATGAAACTTAGAATATGGATAGATAGCAGTATGGAGATTATGCACATCATATTAAGCTCCACTCTAGATAGTATATTGAGAGTTGTCTTACTCACCAAGCATCGGTGACTGTGTCCAGATTTCTGATTAAGTTTTTACAGTCGAGACTGTCATATGTGACTTTCCAAGGGACCATTAGAAAAAGGTCACATATGACAGGGAGTCCCTTAAAACAGTCTGAAAGAAAATTTAAATTTAAATACCATCTACATGTATATACCATTGTGACTTATAAAATAATATAACATAGGTGTGTGAATAAAATAAGAATCCCTGTAAAACAAATACAATCACATGTATATTATAAGTATTTTATTTTTTGTATTAGATTTATATTGAATCATTATGGTACAAAATAAACTTGAATTTGATACATTTAAATACTTAAAATAAATATCATTCTTTAAAAAAACATATCCATATCAAAAGTTTTTTCTCTTTAAATGAAAGGTCTGGTATCAACATTTTTCTGTAGTATTCATGCAGCCATAGAAAGTTAAATTTAAAAAAAACGATGCCTTAAAAAAATCTTCTGTTGGCACTTGGCACATTTTTAGCTCGACTATTCGCAGAATAATCGAGCTAATGCAGTCACCCATTTGTCGGCGTCGGCGTCCCTGTGGTTAAGTTTTTGCGTGTAAGCTGGTATCTCCATAACTACTGAAGGGAATGGATTGAAACTTCACACACTTGTTCTCTGTGATTATCTTACATGATTGGCACAAGTCCCATAACTCTGATTTGCTTTTTTGCATAATTATGCCCCTTTTTCGACTTAGAAATTCTTGGTTAAGTTTTTGCGTGCAAGCTGGTATCTCCATAACTACTGAAGGGAATGGATTGAAACTTCACACACTTGTTCTCTGTGATTATCTAACATGATTGGCACAAGTCCCATAACTCTTTTTTGCTTTTTTGCATAATTATGCTCCTTTTTTGACTTAGAAATTCTTGGTTAAGTTTTTGCGTTCAAGCTGGTATCTCCATAAATACTGAAGGGAATGGATTGAAACTTCACACACTTGTTTTCTGTGATTATCTTACATAATTGGCACAAGTCCCATAACTCTGATTTACTTTTTTGCATAATTATGCCCCTTTTTTGACTTAGAAATTCTTGGTTAAGTTTTTGCGTGCAAGCTGGTATCTCCATAAATACTGAAGGGAATGGATTGAAACTTCACACACTTGTTCTCTGTGATTAACATGATTGGCAGGCTTTCTACTGGTCCCTACTTTTCCTACTTTTCCCGACTTTTTTCTTTTGATCCCTACTTTGCCCTACTTTTTTCTGAAATAGCCCTATTATCCCTACTTTTTCATTTTGAAATGAAATGAAAAAAAAGAAGATATTTAAAATGGTATTTCATTTAGTATTTTTAAATTGCAATTGATGATAGTTCGGTGTGTGGGGTGTGTACCCCTTTTGATTTTCCACCCCTTGAAAGATTTCCCGAAAAACTTTCAGCAACTTCTGGCTATGAGAAAATACATAAAAACCCATACTTATTTTAAAAAACAAATTTTTTAAATTTTTCCATTTCCTTTTTTAAAAATGAATCATTTTCCCGTCCCCGGTTTTGCCACCCCAAAAAGGTTTAAATTTAATTTTTTTAAAATTAGGTTTATAAATATTCCCAATAATCCATTGGGTGAGGTTTCCACAGTTGCCTTTTGGGTACTGATTCAAAAAAAACAAAATTTTTTATTGGTTTTTTTGTGTTTGTTTTTTTTTCCCCAGTCTATTAACCATTATGTACATTTTACTTAAATTTTAAAACAAATCATCAATAAAAAAATTTTTAAAAGGGTTTTAAAAAAAAACTTTTGAAATGTGATTAAAGCATTGGCAGCTGTGGGTATCAAACACTGCATTGACCAATTGCTCTTGTGTCTGAGTAGAGTTGCAGCAGTGTGACTTATCAATTTAGATTCCAAGCTTTTAATTGTCACTTAACAAAAATCTAACATGTGCAAATACCTTGGTATTGCTTCATCACTATCCATCAGATGGTTGTGCATTTTGTCAACATGATATAATGTTTAGCTTAATCATGAAAATGACAGGTCTTAAAATTTCAAATCATTTCATTGTCATGTTGACAATAATGCACAACAATCTGATAGCAAGCTTGGGTTAGGCTTGTTTCTCAGCTAGATTGTATTTACAAGTGTAACTATGGCAGTGTACTAAAGGATGCATACATGTAACCTACTTGGTACCTCTTGTTGTAGTTAGATTGTTCCTTAAAATACTACACTGTGGCATGTTTGACATCACCTTTTGCCCTTTTAATATATTATAATTTTATGCAAACATATTAACATGAATATACATCAGTTTAACCTACATGTACATGTAGCTCTTACATTAACATGCAGTCCTGTTCATATAGCTTTTAGTGTACATCCTGGTGTTGGTATTCACAGCTTGTTTGCATTTACCTTGACTATGTAATAGACTAGGATCTAGTAGCTCTCGCCTTACTAATGTGAATATTCTTAAAACTATGTGCTAGATATACTCATTGTATGTTTTGTTTTGCTGATTATATTTGTCCTTATCATTGTAAATAACATTTTGTATTGGTGCACTTGTATTTAAAGAGAAATAAAAAAACAATTTCAGGTGCCTGTCTTTCAAGCATGGACTGAACTGAAGATACACACAGCCTGACGTGGTCTTGGTGATGGTAAGTCTTAACCAAAACGGTAAGAAATTCCTACTTTATCTCTACTTTTTAACATCAGAAATCCCTACTTTGCCCTACTTTTTGGTAAAAAAAAATGCCATACTTTTTCCCTAGTTTTTTTGGCAGAGGCAGTAGAAAGCCTGGATTGGCATAAGTCCCATAACTGTGATTTGCTTTTTAGCTCACCTGTCACAAAGTGACAGGGTGAGCTTTTGTGATCGCTTTTCGTCCGGCGTCCGTCCGTAAACTTTTACTTTAAATGACATCTCCTCATAAACCACTAAGCCAATTTCATCCAAACTTCACAGGAATGTTCCTTTGGTGGTCACCTTTAAAAATTGTTCAAAGAATTTAATTCCATGCAGAACTCTGGTTGTCATGGCAACCGAAAGAAAAAACTTTAAATATCTTCTTTTAAAAAACCCTAAGAGCTAGAGCTTAGATATTTGGCATGAAACATCTTCTAGTGAGTGTCTACCAAGTTTGTTCAAATAAAAGC